ATAGTACAATATCAAACTGAGATCAAGTTTAATATGAGGGAACTGGTCTACGTCACAGAGGTATTTTCACTATTATATCAGAGTTTCAGAAAGTATCGTGATCTTAGAACTACGCCTTTTCTCTTTTCTGAATGACTAACTTAGAGGTGGTTTGGGGAATAGTTGCAACATTACACTTCTGAAAATCTTTCCACTGAAAACAGACTAGATGCAGTTGGAAAGCTTCAAGAATCACTTGGAGTATGCACTGTGGCTGGACAGACTCACCACCCAAGAATCACCTACAGGAGGATGGCAGGGTTTCAATAGGCACTGCTGCAGCCCTGAGGCAGTACTAGCAGCCTAGGGCTACCCTCAGTGCACGTAAGTGACTTGTTAATTAAAAGCTGTTTCACCCATAATCTCCGTGCAAGTTTTCTGTGTATGGTTTCAGGAAGAAAAAAGATAATTTCAAAATAGCTATGGAGGGATTTAAAAAGAATAATAGATTAAAATAAAATTATAACTAGGGCATTTAATAGTAATATTTTATGGGAAATTTTCAAGACCCACTTGCACATCAGATATTACTATAAAACATTACTTAACCCTGACCTTTTCAAACAACAAAAGATATGGGTGTGGAAGCAGAATACTTGACAAAATGCAATGAAAGGGGATTAGTTTCTCATAAATGTTACAACAAGGTAGCAATACCTGTGAATGAATGATGTTTTCTGTTGATTTAGAAAACAATTTAATTAAATATCTGATTTTCAAACTAATTAAAAAATCTTTAAAATTATTACATTATAAAGTTTTAATATATTTCTTTATTATGATTTCTATTATTAAGCTTGCTTTCTGTATTTCAATGGAATAATAATCTCTTATTCCAAAACATAACATTTTAATAAATTTCCCTGAAAATGCATTTCTATCTATTTAAAGAAAAAAAAATCAATGCAAAAAGAAAAGTCCTTTAAAAAAGTACAATCAGATAAATACTGAATAAAAAACCCCAAACAAACAAGCCAAAAAAACCAAACCAAACCAAAAAAACAAAACACAAACACCTCTATTAATCATCTTTGTTATTACAGAGGGGTTTTTGCTGAGCTTTAAAAATTAAAACACCAGTACAAGCACTGGCACAAAGTCAGTGCCCTCTGAAGACTACTCAGATCAGGAACAAGATGAAATCAAAATCATTTTGATGAAATTGCAGGGAGGAAATAAAGAAAAACCCACTTTGTCTCCCTCTTTACTGATAACAATAGAGGTTGCTATTCATTTTTGGGTTTAGTTCAAATAACCTCTTGAAAAAGATTTCTCTTCAGTAAAGTTAATTACTTTAACTACTCCTCCAATCATTATTCTGTATATAAGAATTGTTCCTGCCATCAAAATAAACTGTTAATTAATTGGGCAGTGAAAAAATCACAGCACTGTATCTCTTTTAGCAGCTGAACAGCAAAGTGATACGATTGCAACTGTGTGTGCTTAATGCTTCATCAGTCACACACACAGCAACGAGTGTCCTCCTAAAGTGGAAAGGATGCACAAGTGAATTAGGAAAGACTGATAAGCAAATCACTGCTCTGTATCTTGTCCTATGGCTTCACAGCATTGGAGATGTATCTGAGCCATTTGGCTGAGGAAGCTCCTCAGGCTGTTACTCCCCTGCTGTACACAGATCAGCAGTGCAAGTCCTATCTGCACTTATCTTCCCTGAAGAATGTGATCTCTGCTTTCTAAGAAAGTTGCATTGAATTTTCCTGGTTTTGTTTTTCTAATCACTGTTTTTATTTTCAATGACCTATGAATTGTTTGGAAATTAAGGAGAGATGTGACCTTGTCATCCTCTGACTATCTTTCAGACTTATCGGGGTTTCGGACAAACATTGGAGATATTTCTTGCAAACCATCACAGAAGAACATAAGTGCACTGTGTGGATGCTTCTGAGACATGCAGCTTCCTCCAAGTTGCTCCTTTCCTCATGGCTATGAGTGGAGCAAGACCCTACCTCCACGTAGAGCAGCAGCTCAGCCTGTACAGTCTGTCCTGCTTGTCAAGTCATGCACCACTTCCAACCCATAGTTTCCCCAGATGCAGCCAAATCTTGAAGGAATACAAAACCCTTCTGCACTGCGTCAGTGTTTGTGTGAAGTTAAGGGAAAGTGGATTAAAGTTGCCTGTTCGCAGACCAGTCTTCCTCCTCCTGCAGGAGAAGGCTCAAGGAAAACTTGAGGGCACACCAATCTGGTGTCTTTTTAGAGTCCCATGAACCAGTGTGTTAATTCAGGCCTTAGAGAATCAGCATCTTCATAAAAAGCTCACATTCTTACAAATGACATTCACTATCAGTTCCACCAAGATGGATAAAGCGTGGCTAGAGAGTGGACCCGGTCACAATATAATGATATGTCAAGGATATCTGAGCTGCTGCTGTTCTTGCCAAACCCCAACAACATGTAACTGAAGGCTGGTTTCTTTCAGAACTTCGCGATTTGGTATGTTTTGCTAGCACTATATTTTTTTCCCTTCTTAAAACAGAGAATGATGGAAGGAAAAATGCAAAAATAAATGCCAATGGAGGGGAAAATAGGATAGACAAAGATAAGAACATTTTTGCCCCTCAATTATATGAATATTAAGGATACAATATTCTGTTGTCAATCACTGGTTACAAATTCATGTTTGGAAAAAAAGAGACACACACAAAAAGTAAAGTATTTGCAAATATTTTTCCTTCTGACCCCTCTACCTCGAAATGACTGCCTGTTTCACTCAGAAAATCTACTTCTGGCCTTCCCAGGCTTTGTACAAACTGCTGCTGCTTCCCTTTTATCACAGTTGTCTTACTTCTTTCTAGACAAAATGCTTCTGGGCCACAGACAGTTGAATTATGGAGGAACTAGTCAAATCTGCGCTTGCCCTTCCTACTCCAAGCTACCATGATGGCTAACCTCTCTGACTGTGCTCGTTGCTTCAGAATTATAGTATTAAAGCTACAGACACTTGGTAGTTATTTTTAGAAAAAAAATTTTTATTTATGATTTAGACACAAATACCATAGTGGCAATTTTTCAAAGGCAATAGTTTGCCACTAAGAAATTGCATATATTGATTCTCTGACACAAAACACTTTGAATCTTAGACTATTAGCACAAGAGAACCATAAAAACCTGATGTTTTCATTGTTCTGAAAAAATGGTTTCATCTTACCAAGACTGTTGCATGTACCCAGCAGATTTCAATTGTCAGGAGACTAAAAATGTCCAATTACCTTAAGAAAAACTGTTTTCCAAGTATATAATCATATGATTTCTACAAAGGCTATAGCATTATGTCATAAAAAGGAATAGCATAAAATATGTTTTCATGAAGATTATTTTTTAAATTTTAAATCTACTACCACCTTCAAGACATAAAATTCATGTATTGCTCCACAAAATTCTGGCACTGTATGCCAGTTTAGAAAATAACTCAGCCCACAAATGAAGCCATTAAAAAATATGGTTAGATCATGTTATAGATGAAAACACGTAACTGAAAACTTTAAATAAGTAACATATTAAACCCCCAATTCCTGATTGTTCAAAGTTAAATCAAAATGTTCTTAAATTTAGAAGTCAAATTAGCATGTATATATGCTTTCAGCGCCAATGCATTTCGAGCTTGCTGTGTGGGTATTTCCAGCTTGATTTCAGTTTCTTAGTTCAAATCATGATCTATTCCCAAGCCAGTTCTCTTATAATAAGTATTTTGGCCAGAGCATCAGCACAGAAATCTTTCTTTCTTTTTCTTTTTTTACCTTTTAATGAAAAAATTTACTTTGAGAATAAAAAAAAATTTGACATACTTTCAAAATATTTCCTTCCTAGTTGTATTGGGTCTGGCTGAGGTGGTTTTCATTTCTGCATAGTAGCCCTCACAGTGTTGTGCTTTGCATTGGCAGCTAGAAGGGTGTTGACAACACACCAGTGTTTTGGCTACTGCTGAGCACAGCATCAGCACTGTAACATTCCTTCCTCAATCGAGGGCAAGATCTTTGAAGGGGACTCAAGTAGGCCAGCTGACCCAAACTGACCAAAGGGATGTTCCATACCATATGACATCAGCTAAGATATAAAAGCTAAGGCAAGGAGCAGGAAGGGGGGCATTCATTGTCTCCAGCAGCTGCCTGCTGAAGAACCATTACACACGCTGAAGCCCTGCTTCTTGAAGGTGGCCGACCATCCCTGCTGATGTGAAGTAGAGAATAAACCATGCTATCTTCCGCTTCGCTCTTGCATGCGCAAGCTTTTGCTTTGCTTATGTTTTAATAAACTGCCTTATCCCAACCCATGAGTTACTTTCCATCTTGCTCTCTTCCCTGTCCAGCTGGGAAGGGGAGTGGCAGAGTGGTTGGGTTGGCACCTGGTGACCAGCCAAGGTCAACCCACCACACTAGTATATTACATATTCATTTAGCTTTCAAATGATGTACCTTATGCTGCAAGTGCTTGTTTCCCGGCACTTCTCTTTGCCCTAGACCTCGCAATTGGAGATGACATACCCCTAGCAACATCAGTTCATTATTACATCTAATCTATTCTTTTGATACTCCACTAAAGCTGAAGCATATTACAAAACGATGGGTTCGTCCTCAACCAAAACTTTGTAGAAATGATCCTACTTTTCTCTGTCTTCCAAAAGCACCAGGAACAACTACAGTGCTGTAAGTGTGCAGAGAGCCAAAGGGAAAAACAGTGCTATGATCCTTAACAGATTTGCAACTAGTGGCAAGATACTGACTGGCACTTCAGACCTTTGCTCAGACCAATTACTAGATGGGAACTTTAGTGCAAACCGAAAGGTAGAAGATTACGTTATTAAACCCATACAGACTGATCATGGCACTGTTATGACCTGTATTCCCATTTATGTACTAAAATAAATAGTCTTCAGACATCCCAGATCTCATTAAACCTTTAGATTGTGAAATTCGGTCTCATGTAATTTGGACTTACTATACCTCACTAAACTGTTTGCAGCATCAGGATCTTGTGCCGTTACTGTGCCAACAGGAGTCCCAATCTTTGCATTTTCATAAACTTCCATGACATAGGAAGGCATAGTGAAGAGTGGAGGTTCATCCACATCGCCAACGATGATCTTCAGCATTGTTACATCTTTGAAAGGTCCCAAGTGCGAAAAGCGGAAATCAAGGTGAGTATTTGCTCCTTCTATATTAAGAGTATATGATTTCTTTTTTTCATAGTTGAGAGGCTGTCAGCAGAAAAAAACCAAAGATTTATCAGTGCTATTCTGTTTTTCAGTTTAGTCGGCTATCAGGTTAACCACATCTTTTCTGCTTAACTTAAACACCATTTTTTCGTGCTACTGGAAGAGGACAATATTCTTTGACATTCTCGCAGCCACTGCCATACCTTCTAAGTAGAATGACTTACATGAAGCAGGATGGATTCAGTTTTTCTTTACAACAGAATATTGGACAAGGTACCAGTTTTAGAAATAACTCAAGATTCAGAATGAGCCTCAGATTCTTCTTCCACCATAATGCAACATTTCTGGATTTTATCACCCTTTGATTTTAATCAGTAAATTCTAAATCCAGAAAAAGGCAGAGACTGATATATCCTGATTATTATGAACAAATTTTACTGACTTTATATATTTATTTTAATCCTACATCAGCATGCTAATGCACTGTCTTATTCAAGATGTAAGATAAACATGACACACCTGACTCCCAACTCTGCCAGTGTAGAAGAGGGGACTAAAAAGGATATTTAACTTAAAAGTAGAGAAGTAATGAAGCTCATTAGCAGATATAGAGCTAGTCAATGTTTTTACTAGAAGTCGTATTTACAGAACCACAACTATTTTGGGTTGCTTTCTTCAGTCTCACTAAAGTAATTGACTACATTTCATAGACAGTCCATCAAGAATTTCATTTGAGAAGTAATTTTTTTCTATATATTGCCTGTTAGTTCTAATTATTAATTAAAAGGCTTTAAAAATACCAGCTCAGTTCCAGGTAGTCCTAAGGCAGATTTCAGATCATTATTTTTTAAATGTGCTTCTATGTTGGGCAAAACCACTCATTCTTAATAATAAAGACCTCAATACTTTTTGTGCTACAAATTTATGACTTCAGCCAATTTATAAAAAGTACAGGTAGGTTAATATTTTTTATTATACTTGACAAAGCAGGTAATTTATACAGGTATATATAATACCACCAAGTTTCCAACAGTCTCAAAACACAGGCATAACATTAAAAGAGATTGCATATGCATGGAATTTTTTTTTTATTTTTCTTCTTTAGAATTGCAATTTTTACGACATTATGGTATGGCAGAATTCCAGTACTACCAGTATAATTCTGATTATTCTGTGTGGACCTGACAGCCTGTCTTAAAAAAACTCAGTACAAACATCGAAGTTTTCATCCAAGGCTAAACTGGTATTTACTATCACCCCAAAGAGTGGAGAAGTAGTATTTTAGGCAGGACAAATGAGAAATTCAATGTATGACTTGTCAATGTCAGTGCATATTTTGTAGATAAAATCTACAATAAATTTGACTGATGATATATAAGAAAAATAGTTGGTCAGGATTTATATATTTCTTTGATTTCTTCTCTGTGTACTGAATGACAGTTAATTCATTTTCTTAATTCTAATACTATGAGACTTTTTTTGACCCTTACATTCTCTGTCTCCCTTTTCCAAATGTAAAAATAAAAATTTTAAAGGCATAGAAATTAACCATAGCATAGTAATTCTACCACTACAAGAAAAAAGAGATAAGTATGCTACTTGATTAAACCAATTAATAAAGAAACAAAAATTTAGTAAATTCTAACTCAGATGTACTTTAATTTATGATGTATTTTTCTTATGAGCAGGGAAATATTGAATAGTAATTTACATTGCTCCGCAGCATATATATTCTAAGATTAAACAGGTTTACAATAGGATTGCAACTTGTAACTATGATGTCTTTTTAGAAAATTAAGTCTATAATGACAATGATTGAATTAATTAGTATAGGAAGATTAATTTCTCTCAGAAAACACATGCAGAAAGACTCTTGTATTAACACAAAGTCTTGTTTTCTTCTTTTATGTAGTTATTCAATCAGACTTTAGCCCCTCTTTTTTCCAAGAATACGGGAATAATCCACTCAGATAATCAGAAAACGCTGACATTTCAACCATAGCTAAAGCAGTTTTTTGCTTTCATTTGCTTTCTCTTCTTCCCATAACATCTTAATAATTAGCTGTAGCTATAAGGTGAGAGGCAGAATTGTCCTGTGTCTCTAGATATATAAATCATTTCTATATTTACTTAAAACATTAACTTTCCCCCAGAAATAAGGCAAAAAAAATATATTTTAGATGAAAAAAATGAGAATTTTTATGTTTCTTATTTTCCCAAAGAATAATGCCTTTCTATGACAATTATCCACGTAACTTCAGTATGAATTTATTGTATGTTATGATTTTCACACCAAATGTCAAATGACAGTTTGTAATCAAACCTTCATGGAAGGATTTTTAGACTGAAGAATGGCTCCACAGATTTGTCCATAGGGAAAATAATAAAAGTTCTGGATGTTTTGGGTCATCCCAGAATGAGATCAAAAAATATTACTTCCAAGACTCACAGCCATAGTGTGCCTGTTGAAAAGCCTACCCGTAGGCTGAGAAATTTGATATTTGCATCAGAACCTCAAGTAAGTGAGATTTTAAAAGGTTTGAGGAGGATTTCAGATTGTTATACAAAATAACCTATTTATTTCTGCCTTTTCTGGTGTTCCTACTGTAAATTCTTCTAGAGAATACTAGAGCACAAATCATTCTATTTCTCTGTTACAGAAGGTACTGGCATCTGATATACAAAACAAAACCAGTTCTGTTCTTAGTGGAGCTTATCTGTTTTGGGTTGTGAGACACTGGATCAGTAAAAGTATTATTTTATTATTGGGTTGGAACCAACCCGTGTGTTTGTGGGGCAGGGCACACGGAACTCACACGGAACTCACATGGAGTAGCTGTCAGTCAAAAGAGCAGCCTGGGAGCCCACCCACACCACGACCCCTGCAAGTCCTAACCCAGGCTCTGACTGGCTGCACCCCTCTCACTCTGGTCTGGAGGCACAGAGTGGTCAGTGAGCTGGATGTCCTGCCTGGCAGGGGTGGCCACAGTGGCCAAACCACATAATTACAGCAGCATGTGGTTTCCATCTTGCCCTTTCTCTCTCAACCTGCCATGTGGAGCAGGACTTCTGCAGGATTTTTCGGTGGTAGCTATTTTTCTCTAAATATCTTTTCATAATCTCCTTTCTCTCTCTTTACTCCTGTTTCTTCTCTTAATCTCTTTCTTTACTGTTTTCTTAATCTCTTTTGGGTAACTTAAAACCAGTAGGTTGGATTTTGCTAAGTTTTTGGGTTGACATGTGCTGGGTTAGTGCCTTGTGGAATGCTGTACCTTGGTTGTTTATTACCCCTTTTAAACCTTTGCCAAAATCCTTATTTTCTCCTAAAATTAAAAGCCTGTCCTGGGAAAACCTGTGGAGCATTTTTCTCTTTAGGTTATCTCAAGGTATTAAGAACCAAAGGCTCTGCAAAAATTTAGTGGGTGAACTCTTGGATTCTCAAATATAAAAGTAATACTCTTGGTTAAGCTTGTGGCTTCAGCATGTGGGTCTTACATGGGTAGACTATCAAACAAATTCAGCTTGAAACCAAATCTAAATCAAAAGAAATTGCAGCACACAGAATATAAAATACTTATTAAATTGCATACAGAATCTGAATTAAAAAAAAAATAAAAAAAGAAAAAAGGAAAAAAGATCACTTTTTTGTACTGTAAAATGGAATATTATATCTGAGGAAGTAATTGAGGTATTCACACCAATTTATGTAGTTTTAAGAGCTGAATTTCTGCTCAACTGGAACATAACATTACCGAAGCAAAATGTACCCCTTCTTGTCTTGATGGGAAAATGATTCAAATCACTGTAGTGTATGTATAAGAATAGGCAACATATGCTTTTGTCGTATTCTGAAATGTAGTGAAAATTTCTCTGAAGCTATTTTGTCTGCCGAAAGAAGTAAGAAATGTGATTTAACATATTTTTATGTGTCTTTCATGTTTTTTCTTTCTGCTTCATGTTCTCAATATGCATAAATGTTGTAGTTAATGAAGAGTAGCCATAATGAACTTTTAAATAGAGTACAGTGCACATTTTGAAGAAGAAATAACAGGCTATGGCATTAGCTACATCAGGGTCACCAGGAAATAAGTTCAGTGGTATAAAAAAGGCAGTTTACTTTTTTGTGGTTGAAAGAAGCAGGTATTACACAACCTTTATAAGAGACACTGAGTTAAAGATTTTTAAGATACTGGAAGAGACAGAAGCCCTTTTTAAACCATCATAAATTATAAAAATAACATTTCCTTTAGTTACAAACTATTTTTAAGATGCTATATAAAAATGTGCATAAATATATATATATCTGTTCAGAAGCAATATAAACCCAAACATGCATTATGTTAGTTTTTATTTAATGTCTTTTCTCGCATTTTCTCTGGATTTCATTCCCCTAACCATTAGTAAACCCCAGAATATGTACTAGCAAATACATAATCACTTTTACTTTTTAGGCTATATGGATATAATTGATGTCTACAAGACATCTACAAGTCCACATGAGAATTGTTAATTGACATTTGTTACTCCAAGTGAAAACTGAAATCAATAAATTTTCGTTTGTTGGAAAGGTTTTTTAAAAAATCTTAAATATAATAACCCATATCCCTGGATTATTATAAAATTAAATTTAAATCTAGTCATATAATACTAGCATAAGTTGGCAGACACTTAAGAAATGTCCACCATGATCCTAGTTCAGAGGACCTAATATGGAGATGAAATTATCTATGGAATTAGATTTATGTATTGAATTCAGTTAAGAATGAAATTAAAAGGCAAGAAAAATTGATAAATAATGGTTTAAAAAGACTGGGAGAAATAGAGGGAATTCATATAAATGATAACTGTATGATTGGTTGACCAGTAACATTTAAGGTCTTTATCACAATACTAAACCATTTAGATGTTAGCTTTCAAGTAAATCAAAGAATAACAGTCTATGAAAACCGAATTACACATCATTACCACAGAAAAACTTTCTATGTCAATATTCAAGTAGTTTGGGGACAACACTACAAGTTTCAGCCAAATTTTACTTCTTCCAGAGAAATTTAATGTACAAAACTATCAGTAAGAAAAAGTGAACTATCTTAATTAAAATTCAATAAGGTTTTTATAAATCAGAGTATTATAAATATTAGATAACACCATTAAAAACACAGAGGGTTTAAATAACTGTTTCTTTCCTTGAATTTCTTTTCTTCCTGCCTTTCCTGAAAAGATTAAGTGTCTCTGGGAACAATATGGAGAAGCTTACATTGCTGAAGTTCATGACTCTATAGGTTTACACAGTAAAATACTTTTGTTGTGATGTCTGCTTATTCAGCACTCATCATTATATTTTAATTACATACACAGGAAATTTCTGAAGTCTATGGCTTACCTTCTTGAGGGAAAGAATTCCTTCCCTTGTTTCTTTGTCAGTAGATATGGAGAATACCCCAGAGCCATCGCCATTTATAATTGTGTACTTCATGTCTGCATTGGAACCAGTGTCTGCATCATTTGCTTTGATTTTCCCAACTGCTGATCCAACTTGAGCTGACTCGGGAACATACAGTTGATAATGTTCTAAGGGGGGACAAAAAACAACAGCTTAAAGAATTTTTCTCCAATAATGTTACCATTGTGATTCTGAAAACTACCAGCACTGAAAATGAGAACATACATCCAATAGGTGTGCACATCATCCTTATTCCCTGCCTAAACAATGCCGATACAAATGCCTTTTTAACAGTCTGAGGAGTTTAGATCACAGTCCAACCACCAACACAGAAAAGAGAGCAAAATAACTTCTGTTATTACACATCTTCTGAAACTCTACAAAGTGTCTTTTATGTTCCTCTTAGGCATTCTGTGGTAGGGAGCGCAGCAGTGCAAAACTGAGTTGCAGGACAGAAGAAAAGCAGATTTGAAAGTGGATATATGAAAGCTAACATGTTGTTACATTTTGCTGAGTTTAAACCAGCTAGCATGACTGCAGAGGTGCTCTTGGTAAGCATGTAGAGAAAGAAAGGCAAAATTTACATTGAATTCAGAGGTTAAACCTGAATTATGACAGAAACCAACCACTGGCTGGCTGAAGAAATTATGAATCTACAGAATGTGCAGTTGTGAATTGAATGAATGTCATCACTAAAATATGGTTAACTTTATAGACACAGACAGAAGATTCCTAAACCTATTATTTGTGTAATACTAGTCCATAACACTTATAAACAAATAGTAGTGTGAGAAGGATGGATGAGAGCATTAAACTTTGTTAGTCCAAAAGGAAAGAGAGTTTTCCTAGGAAAACAAAAAATAAGTTATCATTCATAAGGGAAATCTCAAGGAAAATAAGAAATGTCCTGCAGAACAAGACAAAAAGTATGATTTACCATGCAAAAAATAAAATACCAACTCTGATGTAACGGGAGAATTACTGAGTTTGATGAAAACATATAGTTAATACTTTGATGCAATTCTTTGATATGCATATAAAAGCCACCTACACAAATTTCCAAATAAATGATCTGCCATGCTTTGTGCTTACAGATGATGTCAACTGATATTTTTGAATTGCTGGTTGCTTTATTTCCTACATAAAATTATAGTAATGGGATAATTTACTTATTGTTAGAACACATGCAAAATGTATTCTTTTGACACTTTTGCTCTGATTAATTATTTCCAAAAAGGGAAAGGTTGAGGCCATTAAGGATATGTTATATAATCAAGACACTTCAGGAACTGGATGTGTTATATCTGATATGACAGGGTGAACTAATTGGAGACTTCCAAATAGTTTATAGCTAGTTCAAATATATCTGCATGACACTCCACTCTGCTTTATAATCACACCCCAAGTGTTAGCCATCTGTTTCAGAAAATCATTTTACTGATACCAGCTTGAAACATTCTTAAATACTAAAACTTCAAGCAAAACAAATATTTGAAATGACTCATTTATTATCTGTCAGTATTCGTAGAACTGAAATGTTTCAAAGAAGTAAATGGAGTTAAAAGAAAACTGTTAAAAAAATAAAAAATGTTAGATCACAAGGTCAGAAATGTCTTCCAACTAGTATATAACCATTACTTCACAGAGACAGCCTGAAGATGTCTCGTACAGACATGAGCCAAATAGATAAATAGAAACACTATCTAAAACAAACAAACATAGAGGATAAAATTCAGCAATGAGAAGGTTAGATAAATTGTATTATAGACATGTATTTAGGTTAGTGGTGAAAATTAGAAATGTTCTTACTAAACACTAAATCTCTGTAAACTTTATTCCTACTAAGAGGAACCAACTAAAGGCTCAATTGAACACTGGAACAGGCTCCCCAGGGAAGTGGTCACAGCACCAAGCCTGACAGAGTTCATCGTTTGGACAACACTCTCAGGCACATGGTGTGATTCTTTGAGATGGTCCTGTGAAGGGTAGGAGTTGGACTTGATGCTCCTGCTGGATCCCTTCCAACTCAGCATATTCGGTGATTCTTTGAACGTTTTCTTGGGCATTGGATAAAGGAAGTTTGATAATCATTATAAAATGTGGGATGTGTATGCTGTGATTTTATGATTCTGTATTGTAAGCTATGAGTCTGTCTCAATCCTGTAAAAAAATTCATTGGGAAGATGGGAGCCCTGGGGATCAGGTGTCATCGGTCTATACCAAAAGTGTTCCGCCAAATCTGCCCAAGTTGAACAAACTGTTCCTTCCAGCATCACAGACTTCCAGGAGCTGTTGTAAAACAGAAATTTCTTTGGGACGGTCTAATTTTTTCTAGAGGAGCTGCCCAGTTTCTTATGGGTCAAGAATCTACAGAGTTTGATTTGGTTCTCAATTTTTATAACATTCATTCGGATGCATTCTCATGAAATGAGGAAATTAATACTCTTTCCAGATAATGTACTGTATAGGACAGTTATACCACTTTGCAGGACTTTAATCTATGAAAATTGAAACATTTTTCAAATGCGTATATGTGATCTTCATCTTTTAATAAACTTTATGGTTCATCTGTAATTATAGTAATATAGTAAATATAGTAATTATATTATCTGTAAAAATAGTACAGAAAGAATTTGTTTATCTTTAGAACAATTTACTTTCATTTCAGTTAGCCTATGGGCAACCTGCAATGCTGTTATTTACTCTCAGAAAAGTGATTTCTCTGTCTAAACCTCTCAAAAAAAGAATTATGACAATATTTAATGAAAATTAATAAGCATATTATTCAATTTATTTCATTTATTAATCTATTTTGTTGATAATTTTGGCTTACTTTTATAGGTTATAATTTCTTCTTGAACAGTAGGAATTACCTTACTTAACAAAGGAAGGGAGAAGAGGTATAATACTGAAGTAATAGAGAAATAAGCAAGTATCTGGCCTTCTTGTTACGTTTTTATCCAAGGTATAGTTTAACAACATGAGGATAAATACTGCTTGGTGATGAACCAAGAGATGTGTTTATCACAGCTCATACGCTAATGCCTTTTTCTATCTACTAGTAAACTGATAAATTCAGCGTCTCATTGTCTTAACATAAAATACCCCGGTATCCAAAATGTATATCAAAGTGCTATGTGAAGAAAGTTTTCCTTGAACTTACTAGCTAAATATTCATTCATAAGCCAAACTGATGAGATATGGAGAATAAGGAACAGTGAGCCAAGCTTGAAACCTGATGATTACGAGAACAAAATTCCAATTAAAAAGTAGTTTTACAGGAATCAAAACTGTGGCCAAAAATATTTGATGTGGTAATTAATCACCCGAATAGTGGATTTCATGGGGACAATACCATCTTGGAAAAAGCTGGTTAGTATGCTGGAGGGCAGGGCTGCTGTCCAAAGGGACTTGGACATGCTGGAGAAATGGGCTGACACAAACCTCATGACACTCAATGATGGCACCAGAGGAGAAATAATGCCATTCATCAGTACATGCTGGGGCCAGCCCATTATAAAGCAGTTTTCCAGAAAAGGATGTGAAAAGGACCTTTTAACACTTTACTAGACAAGGCTCTTAGCAACTTGGTCTAACTGAACCTGCTTTAAGCAGGGCTTCAGGTCACATTGCCTTTTCAAGTCTTACCTGAACTTATGATCCTGTCATTTATGAAAGTATGTCTTACATTTTACTGCCTACCATCTTTGATAAAACTAAAATGGAGCTCCAGCTGTGGATTGTGCTTAATCTTCCTTGGTGGCTTTGTTTGAGAAAGTTATTCTGCATTCACAGAGCTGCTTGTTTTCATTAAACATAATAGATTAATCTGGATTTCTCTTTTGAGACTGCAGTTTTAAAGAAGTCTATTTCTCACAGTATGTCTTGGACATTTGTCACATCTTTCTGTACTATGCTTATTTTTAATATAACAAATCCAATTTTAATCCATCATCATTATGAATACAGCAACTTTTATGATTCCTGCAGCTCAGTCAATTTTATATCTACTGTCCTTGATCTGAATATTCTTTTTGATGCTGATATCTCTTTCATACATCTAGACTAAGAAATTTTTAAGGGGTATGTGTGGCTTATTCTTCTTCCCTGACACAAAAACAATGCTTTTGCACTTTCTAAAAATGTTTGAAGCATAAGTGAAGTTACTTCTTATTTGCAAATACAACACTAAAACAAACTTCAAAACTCAAATCCTTCAAAATTTGTTTGCCTTGAAACTCTGGAGAACATAGCAATCTTGGGTCAATTTAGAAAAAAAACCACAAACATTCTTCTTCAACGCAATAGAATCCATTGGCTGGAACAAGACTTGTGCACCCCCATGCCCCTGCTTTTTACAATCCCAATGTAAACCAGAAGTTATGGTTGTGATTAAGATTTTAATAAGGGTTTATGTTCCATGACACTTTGCCTTTAGAGACAGCAACTAAAAGTTCTTGAAAACTTTCTGACTAGTTCTCAGAGATTAAAAGTGTTCTGACTTCTTGTAAAAAGTGTGTTGTTTATGCCACTTATAGGTAAAAGCAGAAAGACAAAGAAAACTGGGTTTCCTGGATTTTCAGAAGTACTTCCTGTAGGCATTGAATACCAAAATATGCATTTTCTATGCAAAAAGCACTGGAAAAACAACATCTACACTCCATAATCATTGTTAATGGGCAGTTTAACAGCTGGATGTGATCTCTAGCACTGTCTAGAGAGACTGTACACCAACTGTACTCACAAAGGAAATGTCACTCAGTGGTCATTCACTTTGAAACCTGAGCATATGTTTTATAAACACAATTAATTAACTAATTAATTGTACCACAAAAAATTGGAACAAATCTCCCCCTTTAAGAATGTGTGAGGAGCAAAATATTTTTTAGCAGTAAAATTGTGTGACTATTATAAGAAAACGTAATAGTTACAAAGATAGGAAGTGATGAGCGTGAAATACAAAGAAGACATTCCTCTAATTATAATGAAAAAAAATCTTAGTAAATTAGCAACAAATAAATGTAGAATAATTTCTATAATGAAATACTTTCTAATACTGCCTGGATACTGGATCAGTGTTGGACTCATCATCGTCAGGTAGAATCACAGACTCATAGAAGGACTTAGATTTGAAGGGACCTTAAAGATAATATGGTTTTAACTCCCCTGCCATGGGCAGGGACACCTTTCACTAGACCAGCTTGCACAGAGCACCATCCAACCTGGCCCTGAACACTTCTGTAATCATTTTAACTCAATAGTCTCCAGTAACTTTTTTTTAACCCTTGTCCAATTTCAGACAACTCTAACAAAAGAGTAGAGCCCTAAAACCCATTATGATTCCACAAGCCTCTTAGCACTTACTGGGTGAATAAAGAAAGACCTGCTAAAAGAAAATCAGAAAAAATTCTGCTTTACTCATCTCATTTGGCAGGATCCAAATGGTAAAACAGCAGGCAGATAGCTCTGAACTACTCACCACAATAGGAGAGGATGTCACCACTAGTGAGAGGATGCTGATGGGTGCATATGGAAATTATAGGAACTGGATATACTATGTGGAACTGGGGATACAGACAGGACCACACTGGAGTATGGATTTCAAAAGAAAATGAATAGCAGATACTTTTGCACATAATTATCTAATGAGTCATATTAACAAGGCTGGATAATAGACACCTTCCTAGCACTGAACGGAGTTAATGTCTATTTCTGCAATATTCCTATTTAACATGACTGTGTACTTTTCACACAATGACATTGTAAAAATCTAGGGCAAACTATGCATCTACATAATTTCACATTATATTTACATACTACCATGAAACAATCAAGGTTCAACAATTAAGCTATATGAAAAGTGTTTTAAGCCATGACTTGTGTTTAAATCCTGCTTTATCCTAAAAAACTGAGCTAGACATATCAATCTACAAATTATATCAATCTAGACAATAACTACATAATAACACAATAACTACAGACCTCCTACACACTGGCCAGAATATAATAATTAGCACTTGATGTACAAAGCATGTCGGTTGAAGCATCTGTCTAGTGTGATGGTCTTGATGCAATCAGAATCTCTTCATATTAAACAAAGCAAAACACATAGAATTTATTCATCTTAAGAAAGACCAGAAAGAATTAATGAAGGAAAAGTATACAGAATATTTTGATGTCACTCAACGCTGATAACAGTGTCATCAGTAGATGGAACATCTTCTATCAAATTACTGAAATAAATTTATGACACTGATATTAGGGCCCTCAGTCATCAGCCACATGGATCCATCAGTGGTAAAACTAACAAGAACAGAGAGATGCAAAAATCTTCCCATGTAGAGTACTGTCTGTCAGGTTACGTTAAATAGATAGTTAATTATAACTCATCTCTCTAAAAAAAGAAAATTGTGATGATGAAGAAAAAGAAATCAGTATTATTCAAAATGCACTGAATTAATTGATGAGCAAAATATATTTGAGGTTTCAGGCTATTCTCCTTCTGATTTTGCAACTCCTTGCCTACTTTTGAGACAGACTAGTGTGTTTTGCACGCAGAATTTTTCATCTGTTTCTTATTACAGAAATGTTTATTAACAACTATGTCAGAACCGCAGCCATCAGACTGATAAAATTATGCAGTCCTGTTTCACATTATTCCTTCTAGATTTTTTTTTGTGTTTTGGAAAACTATAGCTCTTTTTTTAGAAATTTCTTTGCAAGAAAGTCAGCTACATTTAGAGTAGGTAGAGAGAAAAACAAAGTAAATTCATTTAAGCAGACATATTTACAACCTTTATTTCTAAGTCTTAAGTAGGGTTTGAAAGGGTTTATTTAGGGGGGAAAATCCTGCATATACTACTGCAAATGCATGTCTAATGACCAATGATCTACCGAAGCCAGAAAGGTACCATCTTTTAAATACATATAATAAAGTATATTTCTAAATAAAACAGCTAATAAAGGCATCAATCAGATGTGCTTCTCAGCATGTTCTCAAGTAAGGTACTCATACAGTTAGAACCAGATTCAAAACTCAAAAGTATGGTAACGGAGAAAAAGAAACTAACCAAAAGAAAGTCTGTGGTTTAGCTGAGGCTCAGCCTGTCCCAAGGGTTATACACTCGATATGTGCAGTTTTGGTTAGCACTTCCCTTGAATTCAATTCTGAATGTGACAAGCCTCAGTAAGTCTCATTTAGCATTCCGTCTAATAAGGAAATTGAAGAGAAATTTAACTGAAAATTATGGCACACAAAGAAAAGAGAAGAAAAATAAACAATGAAGTTATTTCTGTTAGTGCAAGACTCGTGTATTATTGTAATAGTTCATGATGCTACAATGGCCTTTTTTAGATCAACTATACTTTCATTCTCTATTACTGACATATAGCTGCTGTTCTTTTGCAAGGGGCTTAAAATATATTTCTTGAAACGCAGTAAAAAAGCAATGTCATTCATAGCTGTGGTATAGAAATCCTCCGTAAGGAAAGAAAGTAAATGCTTGTACTCTACAAGACTTGTTCTAAAATAATATTTTATGCTAAAACCAATAAATATTAAAATAATATTTTTTCTCTGTTAAATAAAAAGTTTTCATTAAATGTGAAATGATGTTTTGTGGTTTTCAACATTATTGTAATCCCTTAAAATGTATAAAGTATAACTTGAATATTTTATATTTCTTTGACTTTTAAAAAATAATAATAAAAATAAAGAAATATATATACCCATGTACGTTTCCGCTGGCCAGTCAGTTTGATATCCAGACCCTCCCATTCAAAATAAAAGAGGCCAGTTTTTGATACCTGATATGTAGGGATTTGTTTCTGCATCCATTGAGTTTGAAGAAAATTTATGACATTTCTTCTACTTTAGCTCATTTAGATGTTAAATCTGTTCAAAGATAGGCCTTACCTTTTGCCTTTCCAATAGTTAGAAAGTATTTAATAGAATGATGGATGCAATGAAAATTCTGTGGAATATGAAAACAAATATATTTTATTTAAGGCCATGTTTCAAAGGCTTTATGTTTTCATGTGCTTCTGAGGCACAGAAAAAAATATTCATTTCTGCAACACTTTTAATAAGCCTACATACTGTTTGGCCAGATTTTATATAATGTGTATTGCCAGGGAGCTTTGTTTTTCCGTGGAGCCTTGTGGTCTCTACTACTTTATAAATCTTCTAATTCAAACAGTTTAATGCATTTCCTAGTGGATGTACCTATAGCTACCAGTCCATTATGTTCTACAACAGCTCACACAATGTCTGAGACCAGATTACAATATTCTTTTTGGCCCTGAGCCATCATGAAAAAGAAACGCATTTACATTTCAGAGGATTTTTAAATAAATTGTCGACTGAATTCAGAATTCCTACAAGACCCCAGCTACTGTGTCAGATCAATCTACATCCAATAAGTTGGATAGAAATTAATTTCTTAATAGTGGTAATATTAAGATATTCTAGGAGTATTCTAGTATATATTCTTCATATGTACATGTGATAACAATATTTGACATCAACATCACCAATTCACTTAACTAGAATAGAGGCAGACTCCATCAGAGCTCAACATCAGGGAGAAACAGCTTTTGCCCATCTGTAATGTAATAATTGATCTTAAAGGTTTACTTGGGTATAGAGAAAGAAACAGAAGAAAAAAATTGATGTATGTGTATGGAAGCAGCCAAAGGCATGCTAGATTAAATCTTTTAATGCATTACCTTTTGTTGTTATCTACCATAGGATTAGCATAATTCCCTTGTGGGATCAAACACACAGTTATTGAAAAACACATTCAACAAGGACTAGAGAATAACCCGCACATGACAAGAGCATTCCTTTGTCACCTATCTCACTCTTATCCAGTGGTTAACTGAAAGATGTCTTCACTGGTTTCAGTATTCTAGCTATGCCATCTCTGTGGTTCATCTAAAAACACTGGAAAATTAAAAAATATTTGTGAATCCAAACACCTCCCAAGCTGCCTTCTCCCCATGAATTTGACTGCTAACTGGATTTCACTAATAGCTTCTCACTTCACTGAAAATCAAAATGATTTTCAAATCAGTTATATGTTGAAATTGTACATACTCTGAGGAAACCTGGGTGGATTGTCGTTGACATCAGTGAGTGTGATATTTACAGTTGTTGACCCTGACAGCCCTCCGACCTGCCCAGCCATATCTTTGGCTTGAATGACAACGGAATAATGCTCTCTGGCTTCCCTGTCCATGTTGTGCAAGGCAGTCCTGATGACTCCTGTGAGGGAAAGAAAACAAACAAACAAACAAATGATCAGAATTAGCTTGTTCAAACAAGAGCAAAGGTTGGGCATAACCTTTCTCTTAAGCTGTCTTTAGTCGTTTGTGTCATATATATATAAAACACAATGCCAGATGCTGCTAGAAAATCAATTTGCTTGAGGTTATAAAGAAATCAAAGTAATATTTATTGAATCAATTATTATACTACCAAATAATTAATCTAATTTATAAAACATTTCTAGCCCAAATATACATTGCCAAAATACCAGTGTTTTCTCACATATTGTAACTGCTTAAATAGCTATTTAAAAGAAAAAGTAATGAATGGGAACTCTTATTCCACTGAATAAGACACAAATTGTTTTTTAACAAAAGGTAATTTCTTATTTAAAATATGACATACTTCTTAAAACTATCCAAAAGCTAAATTTTCTTATTTGACAAATCTCAAAAAAGATACTTTTGTATTTAATATATGTCAATCAAGTAGATTTATGTTCATAAGTGTGACTTAACTAATAATTGTCTGTAAACTAAAAGATAGGCTTTTAATTGGTTTGACTACAGTACAGAGAGAAAATCAAAATTGAATGACCCTAAAATTCTATCCATTATTATCTATCACTATCAGAATTTTTTTTTTCACATTTAGTTAATTATACATGCAGAAGCAAAGATTAAAATAAAAGTAGGGACAGTCAATACTGTGGGCTCAGTTTCAGTTAGGGGACATTTTTCACCTATGATGATGCCTTTAAATTAGGCCCTGATAATTTCTTCGATCACAGGCTGACAGAAACATCATGGAATTCAATAAAGGGAAATGTCAAGTCCTATGCTAGGGAATCAGCACATGCTGTGGACAGTCTAGCTGGGAAGGAGCCTTTCAGAAAATGATCTGGGGTGGTCCTCAAGTTGGACATGAGCCAGCAATGTGTTCTCGCAGCAAACAAGGCCAACAGCTTTCCAGGTTGTATTATGAAATGTGTTGCCAGCAGGTCAAGGGAGGGGATCCTTCTCTTCTGCTCACCATTCATGAGGTCAAATCTGGAGTGCTGGGTCTAGTTCTGAGCACACCAGTACATAAAAGACATTGATAGACTGGAGTGAGTTTCATTGAAATAAATAGAGAACTATGAAAATTTATAAACACTATATTTTCAAAGAACTAAGGTTTTAGTTTAATTGTTTTGGACTCTTAAAGTGAGTGGTTGCTATAACCAGTAAGAAAATATACCATAGCATGATCAAATGTTGCTTCTGGGTAAATTCTAAATATACAATAGCTAGTAAAGCAAAGCATCTTAAGTAGAGCCTTGCTCTTCTAGACAATTTTCTGTACAGTATGATCTCAAGTTTTTTGACCCCCAGAGTTTCCGATAATGTAAAAAATGGTTTCCAGAACACTACTTTTCCTGTACTTTAAGATTACTTTCTATGCATTTTTTTTGTGAAACCATTTAGCCATTATTACATACAAAATGGAAATTTTCATGTAGCTTATGTCATTGTTTCCATTGTATTCTGAAAACAAATCATACATAAATTAGTAGATCTATCCACAGAGAATAATATTTTAAATTATTTTAACACACTTTTGCACTGTAAGTTCCTTTCCATCAGAAGTGTAGATTTTGGACAAGCTGACTGAAAATAGTATACAAGTTTGTTTTAGTTCATCAGTGCTTTTTTCCTTAAAATGATACAGTTTGAAACAGATCTTTTTTTTGGAAATTGCAACATGGTATGTTGAAATTAACCACAACTTATACACATTGTAACACAAATTTGTGGGGGCATTTGGATAAAAGAAACTGATATAATTTAAATATACATTTTCATCAAAAGAAATATTCACAAAATTTGGTACTACTGTTCTGAAAATTCATTTTACTGAAAAATAGGAATATAGGAAAGTATTAGAATTAAGAATGTCATGCTTTGACATTTTTCAAATAAATTGCTTCAGTTTTTTATATTGACACCAAATGTATCGGAACATTTCATGCTTATGCATATGCATGTACGAAGTATGGGATTTTTAGAACCTTCCATTTCGATTTGAAACAGACCAAGTGTTACATAGGAGAACATCTATCTTCTATATAATCCTCATAAATACACTAGTCACTTACATTTCTAAATTAATTTAAACAAGCAGAAATTCCTCTGTATTATGATTACTTTCCTCTTCTTTTTTGCTTCAAAGACTGTGATACTGAATCAATGCTTATAGATAACTAATAAGGATTTGTGGATGACTAATCATTTGACCTCTCACTTGCAGCAGGTTCTGAAAAATCTCTTTTCTAAAAATGAGTAAAGAAAATGAGCAAGTTTTTGGTTTCCAAAGCTTATATTCAAAATTTAGAATAAGAAAACTAGTTTTAAACTTTGATGTGCTGAAGGCAGGACATAAGGGAAAATTTAGTTCCCTCTCTTTTCTTGGATGCATGTATATTTATACATCCTAAAATCATAAGATCAATATGAAGTATCTAACTACCATGAGGATCCTAACGCTTTATCTTTGTCACTAGTAGCTCCACCAACTGTTCTGGCAGTATAGCACTAAAATCACACTCAATTTCTGATTTCTCTCATGATCCCAAAATGTGTAAGGAGAACTTTCTTATATGTCTTTTCCAATAAGACAATATTACACTCTCCAGCAATTTCTTTAAAACTAGGAATTGCCCCTGAGTATATGCTGTATACTTGGCAGGAATTCCTATAAATCCCATAAGAAAATGGGAAGTTCATCTTAAGAAAGATATTTCTCTGAATAAAACAATAAGGGAAAAAATGTTAAAAAGAAAATTGTCACAGGCTTTTAAAATTTAAACACAACCCTGATTTTGTCTCATATTTATGAGGCAGCACCGTGACCCTGTTAACTGAGCACTTTTCAGCTGTGACTCCAATATTTATTCATTTTTACTAAGAAAAGAAAGCAAGAAAATAAAAAAAATCAAGACATAGACATCATTGCAGATATAACTCCATCCTGTTTCTTGTATTAAGTGAAGAATTTTTACAGTTTGACTATTGTGTCAAAAATCACATACAACATATGGAAGGCTATATCTGTTGGAACAGACTTGAGAAGGACGTACAATTCTGGACCCTCTGCCTTCACAAATGGTCATACCTATTTCTATCTTAAAATTGTGACAGATGTTTTATCCCACATGGAAGGCTCTCCCAGAACACAAATTTTCTTCTAACTTCTTTTCTACATCTATTCAGCTCTAAATCACACCAGTTTTGATAGGGTTTTTAGATTTGTTTTTTTCTGTGACAATTTCTATTTGAAATATGACATGAAAATTACCTAGTTTCCAGATAAGACTTTAACACCAACTTTTCTTATTAAAACATTTTTATTTTTTATACAAAGTACATGTTATTGGCAGATTCATCTATAAATGAATAATATTTCCTCCAGTGATATTTCCAAATAATTGAGACCAGAATTACTACAGAACCATAGAATATCTTAAGTTGGAAAGGACAAAGGATCCAGTCCTACTCTCTGCTTCTCACAGGACTAACTAAAACTAAACAATATATTTACTAAGTAGTTTTACTACATAGTACTATTAAATTTGATTATTCTACTCTGAAGGAGAAAAAAAATACAATTTTTGCACTTTAACACAGATACTGAACAAGTCAGCAGATACATTTCTTTACAGTCAATAGCTTCTTTTCCCCAAGATTTCTGTGAGACACTTCTACGGTCTACAGCATCTGACAGTGTGTTATATTGTCTCTTTTAGCATTCTATGAAGAACCATTTTACTTACATACAACAAAAGCAACAACAGAAGGTTCCACTGTGACTGAGATTGTAAAACTCAAGACTTTAATTAAAGTGCAGACAAATATCAAGGAAATGTCTGCCACAGCCAAGTGCCTAACTATGCATTTACTGAAGTATTTAACTATGTAGTTAAATATCGGTCTGGTACTCTTGAAATAATTTATCTTATTACATCCACAAAATAAGAACTCATTTTAAATTCAGTAACCACAGCAGGTCCTGCATGATATCCGAATGGAATTACCCCAGAATAAAACACGGTATATTTTAAAGTTTTGAGCTCAAAGGTTTTCTATCTAGTGGGGAAAACACAACTCCACTTTGATGACAAATTAGTTTATCATGGGGAAGTAAGTTTTTTTGTTTGGAAAATCTCTATTCCATTGGATCATGAGCCTGGTCACTAGAGATTTGATGAAGAGCCACTAGATCACACTAGATTCCCCATATTCTAGTTTTTTATGTATCTGTCCTGTCATGATCATAGCCAATAATGATTCAAATATAATTTTAAGTATCTATTTAATAACCGATTTAATGTGGTATTTTACAATCCACTGAGGGATGTGAACTATTGCAGATGATGATTTCATTAATATTATTTTTATTTTTTGAACAAAAATTCTATTTTTGTCACTGCTTTGCTCTAGGATATGTATCTAGCTTGTTTTATTGTAATTTAATATTCTCAATATATTGTATATATTAAAATACATTTTAAAATCTAATAATATTCTACTTTGAAGGAGGAAAAAAATACAATTTTTACACTTTAACACAGATACAGAGCAAGTCAGCAGATACTTCAAAATAAACTTCAAATTTAGAAGTCCCAATAGACTTTGACTAAGACTCGTGATTTAGTCCAAATCATAACTGTAAACAGAAATGTGCAATACAAAGCTTCTGGTCATACTCCACATTCTGAATACTTCTATAACTAAGATGTTTTAATCTGTGCCCTTGAGTCAGATCTGCTTTATATAAGTAATATTATACATTTTGTTCCTTTACAGGGACATCACTAGCTACTTCATGGCTAAAAGTCATAGCATTATAGAAATGATAATTAGTGGTCAGTTTTCTTCTCTGGTCATGATAGTATAGATATAGTACTGAAAGGCAGCCATTTCGTATGGAAATTTATCATTGAAATGAAATACATGAAT